AGAGAAGTCTTGGAGAAGCAGAGTAGGAGAAGGTTATATTCTGTACAGAACAGGTAGCAGAAGAGATAACAGAAGGGTTGACTCGGCCCGGCGTTGAGTTCGACCATCAACACCGTGAGAGAGCACTGCAGTGTCGCGTCCGTCTCGAGACGAGTTGGAAGGCCGGGTGAGTTCTGCCTTGGTTGTAGGCTTCTAGGTTCAACCCTAGCGACTGCGATCTTCCAGGCCCGGTTCCTTAGGATATTGTAGAGTAGTCTTGGAGAATCAGAGTAGGAGAAGGTTATATTCTGTACAGAACAAGTAGGAGAATAATCAGTAGAAAAGTGGTTAACTCGGCCTGGCGTTGAGTTTGACCATCAGCACCGTGAGAGAGCACTGCAGAGTCGCGTCCGTCTCAAGCAGAGGCGGAAGGCCGAGTGAATGGGCTTAGTGCGAAGTTTGTTTCTGCCAGCGCTGACAACAAATCCGGCGCATATCAGCAATCAGTGGTACGCAAAATCGATTAACTCATTTGACGAGGCGAGTCCAGTTTGAACTAGTAATCCACGATGCGCCAAAAATCGATACGCTGGCCACGTTGATAGAGCAGGCGGATGAGTGATCATGGCAGCGCTGGGGGCAGGCTCCTACAAGGTATCCCGGAAGAAAGCTGCCGTTGGACATGTTCGGCCTCCGTCCCGTCTGCGGTGAGTATAGTTATAGGTGAGTCAATATGCTTGCTGGCCGGTTGAGTGATCGCTCATTGCTGTTAACTAGACTTGTTCTTCGCTTAGCGGGTGCGGTGATGAGACTGTGTTTGATTTTGGCCCCTTGGCCCCCGAACTCCACTCATATTTCCCCTGAACGTAGGCCTTCGGTTCTGCGTACTCTGACTTAGCCTGGCCGACTTGATTCGAGTCTTCTGCGAAAAGACTGTTGTGCCAGGGTTCAAAGCTATAGATTTGTTGATTTTGCCATTAGAGTACCAACATTCCAGCACCAGTACGACCAATTTCTCATTGGACCTACAAATGAGCCTGACTTTCTCAAAGGTTAAGTCGCGAGTTAGCCGTTGCACAGGACCATATACCAAATACAGCTTGCCCTTTCTATTGATTGCAAAGTGATGTTCGTTCAGTTTTTGCTAGGGGTTTGCTTATTTAACTGCCGTGCATCGCCTAGCTGTTGTGACAGATCACGGCTGATTGTTCGGTTGCTTCGATCGGGTTGTGGGGCTTCAGAATTTGCTGTCTGATTGTAGAAAATTGTCTATGCACCACTCCGATCCCCGAAGGTTGTAGGATTTGTGCAGTCGCCTATAACATATTTCGTGGGCAGGGGATGGCGAGCTATAATAATTTGTTTTTCCGTTCGGTCGATGAATGCGAGGCTTCTTCAGGCACTTGCAGATGAAGGACTTCGGATAACTGTTGGCTTTAAAAATGACATGCAGGTACTTCATCTGCTTCTCACTGTCGTCGCCCCAATGTGTCTAAACACGTCAGAAGACGCTTCATACACAACTGTCCTTTTATTACAACCTGCGTGGTTGCTTCGAAAGTAAAGAAGATACCCAGTTCCGGTTTTCTTACCTTAGACGGTTTTCCTTATCTCGCCGTCTGCCAGTTTTGAAACTTGGACGTCAAGGAAGGGCAACCGATTGTTGACTTCCTCCATGGTAAACTGGATATCGGGAAAATTTAATTTAACAACGCCTTGAAAGTTTGCACGTGACTCCTGTTTAGTATGAAAAATATTTAATCGACGTGTCGGTTCAGAACTTCGGGCGGGTCCAAGCTTACGACCAGCTGCTCGGCCCTCTGCATGACCGCGTTCGCAATGAGTCCAGACGTAGGGCAGCCCATTCTTATCCCCTGTCCCCTGTCCTCGTACACTTGGATGTTGAAGGTGAGAAAGGTCTTAAGACACAAGTAAACGGGGTCGTCGATGTTCGATTGTTTGAGCTGTTTCTCGGTCTCGTCATATTTTTCACGAAGAAGGCTGTTTATAGTGTTGAGAGCCAATGCGGACGGGATGGATTTGAATAACGAGATCGCATCGATTGACAACATGTCCTTGTATGTCTCTAACTCAATATGCTGAATGCATGGCAAGAACTCTTCAGCCTGAGAATCCGTGGTGAGAAAAAAAAGTCGCTGTAACAACCAATTTGACAGCTGAAAGTTTTGGGTACCACATATTAAGACGATGGGACGTAGAGACAACTGCTGGCTTGTGGACCTAGGCAAGCAGTAGAAGCGCGCAATCGCGGCACCAGCTTAGAAACTTCGATATTATTAAGAAAATATTCCTTACATCAT